ACTCACCGGTGGCCGAACTTCGATAAATCAATGAAAAATCAGGGGAGACCTTGTGTTTCCGATGAGACTTTGCGGTGATCTAAAAGAAAGCGACGTGATTTTATGATGAGGATGAGGCTAGATTTTGGTTGCAAGACAACGGGACACACAGGGGTGACAACAGTGCAAAAAAAGCTGGTCGGACGGTGATCAATCGAAGCTCGACGGTGATAAGATTGGGTAGAATGATTTGGGTATTTGGCTTCAATTTTGAAATGAAATGAATTGATTTGGGAATTTAAAATCAAACCTGATATGTTTAAGAGATATTTCTAATATTTTATTTCATAAATAGTAGCCTAGCCTAATGATAGAGCCATGGTTGGGCTTACTGTTGAACATGAGTTTAAGTCCGTTGAACCACACATTATTTTACTTTCACCTTTTTCTTGATAATCGTTTTGTGGAATCCTCTATAGACTACCCATAGTTTTAGAATATTTCCATATGCGTCTACCACATTCCATGTCGGAGCATTTATTGCGGGCGGGTTGAACCTCAAGACAAATTGTGTAGCCAATTCATCCCATGAAGTGATTGAACCTGGTGGCAATAGTGTGAGCATATCCCTGCAAAGAATAAGGGAAAAGTTACATTTTAAAGGCATCATCAGTAACACCTTGTTAACTAAATGAAATACAAATCAAAAGATAAGATTATAAATGCTCCTTTTCGTCTTCATGTGGTAACTCAACAAATCGACCATTAGAATTCAACATTTGAAACATGATGTGAGTAAGCACAAAATTCCCAACTTTAATTTCTAGTCCAACCACTCCTAGTTGTACATCATCCAACGTAGGCACCATGTAATCTTGAATAGTCCTATGTTGAAATTGTGCATTTTTTTGACCGCAATGGATCGTTAGCATTTTGTGGTCGTAATGGAGGTATCACTACGTTGTGAGCTGGTAGAATCATTTTTTAAGCAAACGAAAGAAATAAGTTAGTTAGAAAATAAAATAAAAATGATAATAAACATAAAGCAAAAACAACAATAGTAAACATCAACTAAGTCGCTCTCCGGCAACGGCACCAAAACTTGATCGTTAGTGAGATGTCATCGTAATTGGTTCAAGCGTACACTTGTCGATGCAAGAATAGTGATAGCCTCTCGACTAAAGATATCGAACCCATAGGGAAAGGTATTGAAGCTCTACTACTGTTGTCAATGTAATTTTTGTAAAGTAAAAAGAAGATAGAAGTGATTAAGTTGGATGTGGTCGGAAATAATTGTGGCGAAAAAAAAACTTATAGTCAAGAAACTAAATAAATGGATAAATGTGAACATTCATCATACTTTATTCAACCACTACACGCAAGCAAACAAGAAAGAATATTTTGGTTGTAAACACATTAAGCACATACATATCTATCAAGCGTAACAATTGTTTGCAAACTATTATTGCTTAAATAAACCAAGTACCATTCCCTTCTAGGCTCTACACCTAGTCTATTGCGCCCACAAACTAACCAACTTTTGTTGTGGTTTGAGCAACATCCACCGAAAAATAATGCAATAAAAAATGTCACCGCAATGTCACTTCCATGAGCATTGCTTTCCAGATTCAATAGATTAAGCACAAACAATAGAAGACTTCATAGATTGCAAATCAAAAGGGGAACTTTCATTCTCATAAACACAAACACATAGTAATCAAAATAAAAGAGTTCAAGCATAAATCAAATCTAAGAAACTAATATCCCTATTAAAAAGCTAAGAGATTATCCTTGCTAGTTCGGTTTAGGTCGACTGCTACTCTAGCAGTCGATGATGGTGGAACTCGATCATCAAAATGCTCCGATTGGGACTCTAAAGCTTTATGGGGGCTAGTGCTCCATGGCCATGGAGAAGAAAGCTTCAAGAAAATGGGTATGAATTTTTCCTCCAAAATAGACAGCTCATTGTCCTTTAATTTCTTCTAGTACTTTGACAAATGTCCATTGTTGCAACTACAATTCCGGATGCAATCAATTACAGCGAAAACACCTGCTTACACCTTATGTGTGACTAACCATACAACTTCTAGAATAAAGGACAGCTCAACATTTATGAGATTTTCTAAAAGATGGGATAGTTTAGCATAACCGCTTGCATTCTAGAATATCAACTCTGCAATTGACGATTGCGGCGACATCTTGCTCATGGTCCAAAGCGGCGACATTCTAGTACTAGAGCAATGTCGCGACAACTTGATTTCTTCACACAGGTCTTTCGACCTTTCAAAGCGCAGTAGAGGAGAAAATGAGTATAAAATACAAACATGCAATGCAACGACATCTAACTCTAAACACAATGTGGATACAATAAAATGTGGTGACAAAAATGATGAAGGGATAACATAAGCTCATAATATGGGAAGAATTGCATGCTATTTACAATACTATCAACAATCAAGTATCACATAAAAATATTTAGTAACTTTTATTTTTTTTAAAAATAATGTCATATCTAATTGCACAAGCAAGAAAAAGAATCAACTCATTCTGGATGTTGTGACCAAGGTAATGAACATGAATCTCATCATAGTAATACAATTAACATGCTCTTGAATAATATGATCAAACTTAGCTAACTTTTAATTGATCCCAAAATATTTATATTTCTATTTTGATATAATTTCTTATTGGTACCACGAAATGTTATATTTGTTTTACAAGAAACTTCACTATTGAAATAATTCTTAATAAGACATTTTTCCAATGTTCTTTCTCTTTTTATGTTGTTTTTGAACCATTGTCAACAATTATGTTCTTTTTAAGTCTTAAACGCAAATCATACCAAGTGGCCATATTTTGGATGTATTCTATATTGGTTTCATACTTTCTAATTCTAACACAAAGATGTGCCCGATCACTATACATGTCATTTTCTAATTGACCTTTACCATGCTATTTGTTAAATAATGTAAAACAAAAATTAAAAACATTATCAAGTTCTTTTGAATATACAAATCAATCTCTATAACATTTTTCCCAATTTGGTAGTATTCTAGTGTAGAATGAGATAGAAAATTATCTTCCAATTTTATCTTTAACACCTTTCATAATAGATAAATCTCTTTCAGGATCTTTTATTGCTAAAATGTCAATCATTTGAGAATCTAAAGCATCCCAATTTCTTGGATCAAATATGTTAAAATTATGATATGCAATATCATCAAAAGTATTAGCATTAACAACATCAACATTTTTAGCATTATAAATATCAACATCAGAAGGCCCAACATTATCATTAAAGGCAATTTTCTCATTTACATGCACATCTTCATCATCATGTTTATTATTATTATTTAAATGCATATTATCATCAATATTAACATTATTATCATTGACATTATCAATATTAGAATTGCCAATATTATCAACATTTTTTATTTTCAGACACTAGCATCTTATTGACAAAAAAATTATCAAGTACTCCTCTTTGGGTTTGAGTTAGCTCATCGATTATTTTACGCTTTTCACATCTAGTGTTATACTTTATTTTATAAAACATAATTAGATAATTAGAAATCCTAGGTAAAAAATAAAAATGAAATAAAAAATAATCAAACACACAAACACGATCACTACACATATATCCTAAATGGCTAGGCTAGTAGTTGTAACACGCAATACATAAAATTTCAATAATAATTGAATAATTAATAGGCATGACTAGGAGCAACACAACCTGATTTTTGAGTTAAATATTTTCATAAATTAGATTTTCTTCTCAACCCTTGTGACCTTTTTTTTGAAAATTAGCAAATCTAAAAGCCCAAAACATTCAATGTTCTTCTCGAATTTGAATGAATTGAATTGTGGGTATGTTATGAAAAAAATATTTAACAAATTGAAGAATATATTGATATTGAAGAATAGATTGATATTGAAGAAGAAAAAATAAAGAATTGTAAATAAATTGAAGAATAAATTTATATTTGAGAAGAAGAGTTATTTTTTTAATAAATTGAAGAATATAATTTCAGAAAGTGATATATATAGTTGTATTTTATTTGAAATTGAATAAATGAGAAAGATTGAAAGAGACAATGGGAAATTAAATATATTAAATTATTTTACCGTTGGTACTTGGATTTATGTTGAAAATTTAATGAGATTTGTGAAATTGAAAAGAGAAAATAACCTCATGACCAAAAATGCCTTATAATATACGATTTTAACCAATTTTTTTGGATTTGCCAAAATGACCAACTAAATCGCAATGCGATCGATAATTCGCAACACGATCTCCGGTATCGCAAATCAGTTTCCAGATTTGCAACGCGAACTTCGACTATCGCAATGCGAACTTCGACTATCGCAATGCAAACTTGGACTATCGCAATGTGAATATGTAAATCGCAATGCGATAGTCGACTATCACAATGCGAACTTGGACTATCGCAACGCGAACTTCGACTATCGCAATGCGAACTTGGACTATCGCAACGCGAACTTCGACTATCGCAATGCGAATATGTAAATCGCAATGCGATAGTCGACTATCTCAATGCGAATATGTAATTCGCATTGCGATAGTCCAAGTTCGCATTGCGATTTATTCCAAATTCGTTGTGATAGTCCAAAATCGCAACGACTGGTGGTATTGCATTTGTTTCTTAAGAATTTTCTCTAAAAAGATAGTATTCGCGCGTCGAAGACACGTATTACCACGACCACGACCCGACCCGAGACGAGACGAGACGAGACGGACAGCAGTGGCGGCGGCGCACGAGAGTCCCCCTTGTTCTCTATCACTCAACAAGGAAGTGGGAAAGCTAAGCCTTAAATACCATTCTCAATAGTGTTTCCAATACTATGTGGGATTGAGCATTACCAACACTTGTTCCCAATACTATGTGGGATTGAGCCTTAAATAGTGATATTATTTTTGAATGTTTTGCTTAAAATTGCAATAATCGCTATTGATTGTAGATTGACTTTTAATTATGACATATTTAATCGTATAATACTAATGCAATTGGTTGCTGATTCAGTTGTTTTAAGGTGCATGATTGTTAATTGTTTCCTGAATAATCACATTGTATTGGAAACAAGTGTTGGTAATGCTCAATCCCACATAGTATTGGAAACACTATTGGGAATGGTATTTAAGGCTTGGCTTTCCCACTTCCTTGTTGAGTGATAGAGAACAAGGGGGACTCTCGCGCACCGCCGCCGCCACCGTCCGTCTCGTCTTTGGTCGTGGTCGTGGTCGTGGTCGTGGTCGTGGTAATACGTGTCTTCGACACGTCTGCGCGAATACTATCTTTTTAGAGAAAATTCTTAAGAAACAAATGCAATACCACCAGTCGTTGCGATTTTGGACTATCGCAACGAATTTGGAATAAATCGCAACGCGAACTTCGCATTGCGATAGTCGACTATCGCATTGCGATTTACATATTCTCATTGCGATAGTCGAATTTCGCATTGCGATAGTCGAAGTTCGCATTGCGATAGTCGAAGTTCGCATTGCGATAGTCGAAGTTCGCATTGCGATAGTCGAAGTTCGCATTGCGATAGTCCAAGTTCGCATTGCGATAGTCGAAGTTCGCATTGCGAATCTGGAAACTGATTTGCGATACCGGAGATCGCGTTGCGAATTATCGATCACATTGCGATTTAGTTGGTCATTTTGGCAAATCCAAAAAAAATTGGTTAAAATCGTATATTATAAAGCATTTTTGGTCAATGAGATTATTTTCTCAATTGAAAATTGTAAGGAATAAGGAATCTAGTAGTAAAAATTAAAAGTGAGCCCCTGACCAATTAAACATATATAAATATAAATAATATATATATATATATATATATATATATATTACAAATAAATTTTGGGAGAGATAAACTAAAAGTGGGCCATGATATTATTGCAGACAACTTTTGGAAAACCTCTGTTTTGAAAATCAGATCGGACCAACCGGTTCAACCGGGAACCGTTGCTTAGTCCGGTTCAATCTAAACCGGTTGAACCGCTATTAGTGAACTGGGCAGAACCGCTGAACCGTTCGAACCGGACCGGCTAAAAACCGGAAAAAATCGGGAAAAAACGAAAAAAACCGGGATTTTTGTTTTTTTTAAAAAAAATTAAGCCAAACAACGTCGTTTGTTAAACGAGCCAAGTCGAACTCGAGTATTGTGGAGCTCGACTCGAACTTGAAAACTTTAAAAGTAATCTCAACTCAACTCAAACTCACAAGCTAAAAATTATCAAGTTCAACTCAAACTCGAAATATAATATTGAAACTTGAACTCAAAAAAAAATTAGAAGCTCGATTGAAGCCTAAAATTCGAGCTTAATTGAAGTGAAAGAATAGTTCACTCAAATCTCACCAAAAGGCTCCATGATTTTGAATGCCAAATTACCTCTATTATTTATAGAAGTTAGTTGTGATGCGCTTCTATGTTTCTTAGCAATGTGAGATTGTTTTGTTATCATATTTTTACTCTTTAGACTTTTGGGATGCTCTTCTATGTTTCTTAGTCATGTGGGATTGTTTTTAAAAAAAACTTAAACCAAACAATATCATTTTGTTATTATTTTTAACCCCAAATTTATTTTTTAATTATAGTTATATAATTATATTTATTATTTAATATGTTTTACCTTAAATATTATGTTGTAGTTAATTTGAATCATTTTGTTTCACTTGATTTTATTGTTTTTAACTTATATATGTTATGACTTGCTTTGAATATGACTTGTGATATAAAAAATTATTTTTTATTAAATATTTTTGGTATTTTTATTTAATTTTTTAAATAATTATGACGTCGTCCGGTTCTTCTGACTGTCGGACCGGTTCGACCGGTTGAACCATTGAACCGGTAGCATGACCGGTTCGCTAACCGGTCCGGTTTTGAAAACCATGTGGAAAACTAAAAGTTATATGGGATGGGGCCCTTGTTGCAAAATTAAAAGGGCTCCTAAGCAATTGCTCAAGTTGCTCCCCCAAAAGTCGGCACTAATGGTTGGTGAATGGCTGAGTAACCTTTGCTTCTTTTTCGTTTTGAAAAAAAAAGGGCAAACAATATTATCAATTTTTATTTTCGATTTCTTTACCTCTAAGTTGGTGGCTGCCAATTGTCCATCATCCTCTTTTGCAGGTTATGGTAGAAAAAGAAGAAGATGAACTTTTTCGTTTTGGAAAAAAGGGCAAGTAATATTATCAACCGTCACTGTCAGTTTCTTTACCTCTAAGTTCGTGGATGTCAATTGTCCATCATCCCCTTTTACAGGTTATGGTGGAAGAAGATGAAGAAACACATTTTTATTTTTTTAATTATCAACTCATATTTTCATTAATGGGTTAACGAGAGTTAAAGACTAATAGATTAAAATTAAATGAATCGATAACATAAGGGACGAAACCACTCTTTTTTTTAAATCGGTGACCAAAATTGAATAGACCGAAAATATAAGGGATCACTCGAACAATTTACCCAATAAACAATAAAAAACATGAAAGCAAATTGCAAGAAAATTAAAATTGGATGAAAAATAAACACTAAAAAAATGAAGTACAAAAATGCAAGTAATTGAAACTTAAAAAAGAGTATAGGAAGGGACCAAATTGAAACAAAAAAACATATAAAGTTAAAATCAAAATAAACAAAAAAAGGAAACATAAAAGGAAACAGAGATTAAATTGCAACAAACAAAAAACATAAAGCTAAATTAAAAAAATGAAAGAATTAAGGTTTAAAATGAAATAAAGTGAAAACAGGAAAACCTAATTTAGAAACAATCGAACAGAAAAAAAGACAAAAGGAATTAAATTAGAACTCAAACGAAATCAAACAACCACACCAAAAGAATTAAAAAGTCAAAGGGATCAAATTAAAATAAAGATAAAATTAACAACCTAATCTAAAATAAATAAAAACAGAATTAAAAGAAAAGAGACTTCTCTAGAACCTATAACCTGTTCATTTGAGTTTAGAGTTAGTTTATTTCTAGTATCCGATTTAAATTAATTAATTAATAAGTTATATATGATAGTTATAAAAAAATGTGTTTTTTCCCTATATATCACCCATTGCTTTTTTTACCTGTCAAGCACCATTTAGAATATTTTTTCCGATCTAACACCCTTTGCAGTAAGGCGCGCCCCCTGCAACGCGCTTTACGCTAATATGACATCAAGTGGGGTAAGGCGCGCCCCCTGCAGTGCGCTTTAGGATGATCTGGCGTCACGTAGCATATAGCGCTGGTCAGGGGCCGCGCTTTATCTTTAAATCTGACACGCGTCAGAAAGGTGCGCCCCTACGGCATGCCTTAGGTTTAATTACTCACCTACCCCGGCCGTTCACACCCCACCCCCTCCTTATAAATACCCTCATTCTCAATCACTTTCATCAAACCAAATCCTCTCAATTTCTCTCAAAATATTCTTATATTCTATTTTAACTGTTTAAGGTATATTTTATTATTTTTAATATTTTGTTTTTAATTTATTTAAGTATTTACATTTTTTAATATTTTATTTAATTAATTTTTTATGCAGATATAAAATGGAATGAGGTCTACTTCGCTTGGATGAAAATCATATATCGCGACATTTTTGCTGATACGGTAACATTTCAACGTTTTAATATAATTTAAATTATTAGTAATAATTTATTTTTTTATTTATTGCATGACTATTAGTTTAAAAATTAATTTTTGTAATTATTTAATTTTAAGAGAGGGACCATGTATTAGATCCTTTTATTAGGAACCTTAAGTTAGTGATACCTAGTCGTATTTTGCCGTATTTAGTAGAGGCTGGATTCGGTCACATAGGTAGATATGAGGGTCACTGTAAGATAGAAGCAGACCTTATTTCTTCCTTAGTGGAGCGGTGGAGGCCGGAGACCCACACATTCCATCTTTCGAGCGGAGAGTGCACGATTACACTTGAGGATATTTCTATGCCCTGGGGCTTTCGGTGGATGGAGATGTGATATCGGGGATGGCGCACAGTTCATGGACTGCTTTGTGCTGGGTTTATCTGGGACATGTCCCGGAAAGTTTTAACGGTGGTCGGATACCGTTAAATTGGTTAGATGCCAATTTTCGGGAGTTGAGCGAGGATGCCTCTGATGATGAAGTTAAAATATATGCACGAGCATGCATATTGCAGCTGATAGGAGGGTTGCTGATGTCGGACAAATCGTGCAACCAAGTTCACTTTATGTGATTGCGACATCTTGGCAACTTTCGTCTGGCCGATTTACTCAGTTGGGCTCGGTAGTTTTGGCTTTCCTGTACAGGGAGATGTATCGAGCGACTGACTACAGGAAAAATGCTATCGGCGGATGTCTCCTGCTGTTGCAGTCTTGGGCATGATATCGATTGCCCTTTTTATGTCATGTTGTCAAGAACCCATTCGTATTTCCACTTCTATTGAGGTAATTATAAAACTGATTTCGTATATTAATCATTTTATACAGTGTATAATAAATTTTATTTTCCTTGAATAGGTAGTCTACTGATAGGAAAAATCATCAGGAGCTACATGATGATTTAGAAAAAATTAGGTTGCTAATCGATCAGAAGGCTGGCACACATGTATGTCTTTTAATGTTTAAAAATTGTTTTTAGATTATAGTTGTATAATTAGATTATTATTTTGATAAAAATTATATATATTTGTTTTAGTTTGAATGAGTGCCATATTCTAATGATGATGTGAGGATTGTGATCCCACCTGAGTTGAGGGGTCCATTAGATGTTTGGATGGCGATGGTCCTTTTGATCTGTTATACGATCGTCGAGTGGCACTCCACTAATCGCGTGCTCCGGCAATTTGGTTGTTTTCAACCAATTCCGGAAGCACCTTGCAATATGGACGAGTTGCATAGCACAGATAGACGCGGCAAGACCGATACAGATTGGCTGGTGAGGCATCACGAGTGGGTCGTGCTGTGGGAGGATCGACATTGGCTCCTTCCCCGTAGAGAGCCCATTTTTACTGACCACTTGATGGTTGGTGACGGTTATTACGAGTGGTTCAATAGTAACGGGAAACCGTTTCTACTTTTCAAGGATGCACGAGGGTGGACCTTTCAGTGACGTCGACAGAGACGCCCACCAATACAGTACCATCGTCCCCCGACTCGTGGACGGAGAGCAGGTGCTTCCGGCTCATCCTCAGCTGCACCAACATGACCTTCACAACCACCATCTACAATTACTTACCTTCTCCAGCCATATGTGATGCATTCATCGTTGTTCCCTTACCCGATGCCGCCACTGCCACCACCACCTAATTTTATGACCCCGTCGCTATCACCGTCATAGAGTTTTATGACCCTCCTAGAGGATATTATGGATCTATGTTTGTAGATCCGACTTGGGGTTCATATGCCCATAATTTGGCGGGTTCAGCCTCATCACCCATGGCCGCAGCATTGACACCTCATGTACAGTTTTCACACTCAGCGATGTCTGGGTTTTATAAGTTTTCCCAGTTTCGTATGCCGATGGGATAGTCAGTCATACACCTCCAAGGTCCTTATTCTATGGAGGTGCTTCATCGTCATCAGCGCCTCATCAACTTAATATAGCTGCTCACGACGACGACGATGACGTCGGTGATGATGATGACAGCGAGGAGTCACAACTACTGATACGAAGAAATCCTCCTCGAGACCGACAGCCACTGCCCTGCAGAACACATTCTCGTCGTAGACATCGATAGACTTTGTTTTTTTTATTATATTTGTATTTAGTTGTTTATTGGACTTTTTTATTGTAATTTTTATTTTTATTTATCATTTAATACTTATTTTATTTCATTAATTTGGTTAGATTTATTTTAATTTATTTTGTTAAATATGTTGAACTTTTTGTTAATGTATTTTGGTTAATTTTGTTTATTACCATTTAATATCAGTTATTGTAATTTGTGTATCATTTATCATTTAATACTTATTGTAAGTTTGTTGTATTTAAAATTATATTCAAATACCAAATTGTTATTGTTTTGATAAAATTTAATAATTGTGTTTGATAACTTTCTTCAGTTTGTCACTTATTGTAAGATCGAATGACATTAACTTGAAGTAAATGCAAGTTAAAGTACAAGAATTCTTATTTGATAAACAACTACATCAGTTCCTCATCAATTGTGATGGCATTGAACCATTTAATCAAGGGATTGGGCTGAGCCTGTGATGGCATTGAACCATGTAATCAAGCTTAAAATAAATAAATAAACAATATATTTATTTATCTATTATTTTTTCTATTTTCGAATGGATAAAATCAATGAAAATAAAAATGAGATAGAAATGGACTAAAATGGCTAAAATAATACGGGTTGAAATTGGACTAATAAATAGAAAATAGGTCAAAATTTAGATGAGTTGGAAAAAATGAAACGGGCCGGACAAAATGAACTTTTATAAATGAGTTTTGTAGGAATGTTGGGAGAGTTTTATTTTGGATTTCGTGATACATGTGAATATGATATCATATATTTATTTTCTTCGTAATTTTCACATTTATAATGGATCATTATTTTTTTAATTCGTGGTGGTAGGTAAAACTGAACCATGTTAAATTTATTCTGTTGTGTATATATATTATTTTATGTTGATTTTATTTTGGTTATTTTTTCACTTACAAATTCCTAATAAATTTGGTCTAGTTTTTGTTTGGATCCTCCAATATAACATCTTCAATTTGTGTAAGACTATGGATCTAGTGCTAGAACTTGGTGATAGAGTATAGTGTGCAACATAAAACTTTAAAAAGTTTAGAGGTTTAAATTAAAATTTTGAAATGAATTGAAGGGTTTAATTTACATTTTTTTTCAAAAAAAAATTGATTTCTAACTTAATTTTTTTAAAATTTAAGAGGTTTGATGAGAATTTTTAAAAATTATGGGAGGAATTTAATTAAAAACATTAAAAAAAACCAACCTTATATCAAATAATTAGTTATAAAGAGTTTTGTATTCGATTTGTTTGTTCAAAATTATTATAAATTTATACAATTCTTTATATTTGTGTAGTGTTCTATTTTACTTGTTTTATCGTGGCTTAATTTAACTTAAAAACTAGATAATTACATATGGCGTACTCTAATATAACCAACATAAATAATTACATGTGGTGTATCGATAAAATTACTCTTTTATGTGATTTGAAGAAATTATTTTTTGCTTTTAATTAAATCCACATAAAATGAGATACTATGAGTATTTTTTACCACTCAACCAATTAATAAATCTCGAAATATGTTTTATAGATATGCTTAAACTTCATTTTGTGCTCATTACTTCTTACATGAAAGTGAGTACTAAAAGATTCTAGAAAATACTTATGATACAACTTTCCATGGGAACTAATATATCCTAACTTAGAATCTAATACTTTATTTAATTTTTTAATTAAATAATAATTCAAATAATTATTCTAAAAATAAGCACTCAAACTATACGCTATTTTTCAAAGTAATGCCTAAACTTTTTTCCAATCAATCCAAGTATTTAACGTTATAAATGTTATTACTTTAGGTGTCTCGTCTATAACGACCTTTAAAAAGTCTCATTAAATGACATGTGTCACACTCTAGTTATTTTGAAGTTTTTATTCACGATAAAAAAAATTAAAATTATATATATATATATTAAAAAAACAATCCAAAAGTTTTGAAAACATTTAAAAAAAACCCCAAAACATAAAATGTAACACCCATCTCCGGTATACC